TCATTTCAATTAGAAGAAAGTATTAATAAATAAGGCTTTTTCATTCTTGCTACAGATGCCCTATATGAAACTGTAAAATGTGAACTGTCAGTTTAGATTTGCTGATAAAATAGATTTTGATAATGACAGTTCATTTATTTAGCGGATATTGATTAGGTTGCTTGGCTGTTTCAGATAATAGTCTTGCTGTCTTAATTCCACTTTAGTAATAATGACAGTTTATTTTGTTTAAAAGAAAATAAATTAATCCCATTAACAATTTGATATTGTGATTCTGATTCTAATTTCTGAAATTAGTGGGTGAACTGCAATGTACAAGCTTGGAACACATCAGCAGACTCATGTAAACTCCCTATTCAGTACTTCAAAGACATCAGTTTAAATAAACCCACATCACTTCATTAGAATACAAAGGATCTTCTCTGTCATGTATATGCTTGCAAACCATTCTGCACTGTGATTTCACACCAAAGACAAATTACTTGTGGTAGTTCTATGGCACTATTTGCACAAAGATATATGAACAAGATAGCAGAATCTTTTCAGTAAAAACACAGTAGGAAACGCCTTTGATAGTTACAATATTGGAAATCATGCAAAAACTGTATATAAAAATCATTTACATTAATAATAGATCTCAAACATGTTTAAGATGAAATTGATGGCATTTCTTATAAAGTAGGGATTGTTATAATAAAATTAAAGGTAACAAAAATACGTTATTTATGATAAAGACCTTTCCATTCAGTAATTCAGTGACTTCCAAAGCACTTAAAGTAGGCACTATGACGTGGTTTAAAGTGAACAGTTAACTAAATAGAAACGATGATTAAACTAGGCTGAACTATACTTTTAATCAATTATGTACAAATCTGGGTTTGTTGTGATGAGTAAGTAGTTTGCAAAATTTTTGAAGTAAGTTTTTGAAAGCAAAAGCTATCTAATCAGGTCAAATAATAAGTATCCATTTCACTGATTATATTCAGAATTCTTACTCTGCTCAATAAAAACAATTGGAGAGTTTGGAAAAAAATTAATAAAATCTGTGTGGTAAAGTTTTATTTGTTGTTAGTCTACTCATTCGGAAGAACATACAAACATATGAAAAGGGAGCAGAAGAAGGTCACTCGGACCCTTGGGCCTGCTCCACCATTCAATAAGATCAGATTCCTCCACATTCCTGCATATCCCCATAACTTTTCACCTTCTTGCTTGTACAGAATCCATCTATTTTACCTTAAAAATATTCAAACATTCAGTGTGGAATTTTATACGGGTATATACATCAGCAGTGTAGTCTCAATCAATAGGTGGGAATCAGAAAGCTTCCCGATCAGATCCGGAGTCAGGCAGGGCTGCCCACTTTCTCCTGCCTTGTTTGTGTTGTTTAGAGCCTTTTGCTGAGTCCATCAGGAAGGATGTGAGCCTGAGAGGGGTGACTATTCTAGGCAGCGGAGACCTGCAGGTCAAAGCCTCCCTGTACATGGATGGCATCGCTGTTTTCTGCTCGGATTTGCTGTCAGAGCGCAGACTTATGAACATCTGCAACTAGTTTGAACTGGCCTCAGTTGCCAAGGCAAATTGAGGCAACAGTGAGGTCATGTTCTTTGGGAACTGTCCTTTATGCCCTTCACCTTCAGGATGGGAATATGGTTTGGAATGGCTGGGTTGGATGCAAAAACTGGGTGTTTGGGAACGCCACTCCTTCTCCATAGTGGGTAAAAACCTGGTCACCAGATGTGAGGTACTCAGTGTTGTTTTACATGGCACATGTCTGACCTTTTCCTAGAGCCTGCACTGCTACAGTCACCCAAGCTATCTTTCACTTCATCTGGAGGTCAAAGATGGACTATATCCAAAGGATCAGCATGTAAAGAGCTCTAGATAAAGGGAGAAAGAATGTACGCAATGCCACCCTCATCCTGATGGCCACCTTTGTGTGTGGGTGCATCAAGCTGTGCATAGAACTTCGGTACACAAACACCAAGTGTTAACACATACTGGGGTTCTACCTGAAGCCAGTGTTACAACAGATGGGCCTGGCCTTGTTGCCGTGAAATGCTTCAAGTAGTTGGACCGTCCTGTATCACCTGTCCTTTGTGGTAACATTTGTAAAAGAAAACACCTTTAGCCACAAGTCCATCGGGCCATGGTTAGCATGAAGTGTCCTCAAGATCCAGTGAGAAAAGGAGAGGGTTATACCCGTTTAGTGGTTCCCTGAGCAGACTATCAAAATCATTTGGCAGAATGCCTCATTGCCAGAACTCTCCAACAAGCACCAAGACATCACTTGGAAAAGGGCACTACCCACTACATCCTTCACGAATGCCCGAACTCTCTGTGCCAATGCATGCTGCCCTGAAAGTGGCTTTGGAGGAGCAGAGACTGTCACACATTTCCTTCTGGAATGTACCTTTGCAATGGAAGTCTAGAGACAAATGCAATAGTTTTCATTGAGGTTCATCCCCAGTACACACACCGAGACAAATATCAACTGCACCTGGAAGACCATCAACTCAGTGAAAGATGCTCTTTGGTCTGCTTGAAACTTGTTGGTCTTCCAGAGCAAGAAGTTGACCTTGTCCGGGTAGCTTTTCAAAGATGGCCCTCTGTTCTGAGGAAGGGTCACTGGACCTGAAACATTAACTCTGTTTTTTCCTTCACAGATGCTGCCAGACCTGCTGAGCTTTTCCAGCAACTTTTGTTTTTGTTGTGGAAAGGATGACTGTCTTTTCTCGGCAGATATCCACTGAAGCATTGGATGTGAGAATGCTATAGGGGTAGGGTAGGTAGTTAATGAGGGAGTTTGGTGAGATGCAGCAAGAAAACTCAACAGACATTGTAATGAAAATCCCTCCAAAAAACTCAACCGCAACTTAAACTTAGCCAAAAAAAATGTAAGATTCAGCCCCCTACTACCACTGCTTTTTGAGGATGAGAATTGCAAAAATTCACAACTGCCTATAAGAAAACTAATCTCTTTATCTTTGTCTTAAATGGTGAATCCTTATTTTTAAGCAGTGACCTCCAGTTCTAGATTCTTCTAAGATAGGAACATCCACATGTCAAGATCTCTCACGATCTTATAGGTTTCAATCAAGTCGCCTCTTAATTTTCTATACTCCAGTGAATACAAGTCTAACATGTGCAGCCTTTCCTTATAAGACACCCACCCATTCCAGGTAGTAATCTAGTAAGACTTTAATGAATTGCTTTCAACCCATTTGTATCTTGCCTTTATGAAAGAGGTCAGTACTTTTAGAGGCAAAAACACTCATAATATTAAAAAGTATTTAGATAAGTGCTTGTGATGCTAAGGCATGCAAAGCTATGGGCCAAGTTTTGGAAAATGGGATTAGAATAGTTAGGCGTTTGTCTTCAACTGGCATAAGCTCGATGGGTCAAAAAGCCTTTTCCTGTGTTGTAGATTTTTATGACTCCACTGTATGCAGTACTCCAGATGCAGTCTTATCAACGCTCTGCATAGCTGGCGCACACACACACACACATACACTCCCTCACAGACCCACTCTCTCAAGCGCACGCACACACGCACAGACACGCACA